GCCTCAAAGGGTATGGTTTTTCAGCCGTTTTGGTCATAAATAGCGTATCGATTTTAGCCATTTTGATCATTAATAGGTTCTGGTTTTTGCACTCTAGCTTTAAATCGGACATGGTTTTTAGAAGAAGCTACTTTTTCATCATTACCGATCAACAAAAGCCCTTCATGATGCCTTCAAGGGCCCATTAACTGATCTTTTCGAGCCGTTTCTGAGGAAAATTTATTTTGATATAACCTCATCATTTTTCGTTAGTTCAGTGTTATTTCACGTGTTTTAACTTCTTCATGACCAATAACACCAGTGATGACGTTATCAGGCCACGCCCCTGGTCATGTGACTGATATTGACAAAAATGCAAAGGCTCCCTGGCATATTACTTTGTCGGGATTTTTCATTGATTTAATATTTTGATTTTAATCCTCATTATGCTATGCATACATTCTGTTTTATTTCAAAAAGGTCAGATTTTGAGAGAATTTCGAAGTATTGAAAAATTCGTAATTTTCTGAAAAAAGCTTGATTTTGACAAAGGAGTGCATAGCTATGTTTCCAACGTTGGCTTTAATCAAAACTTGCCGAAAAAGGCTCGATTTAATGAAAAACCGCGTTTCCTTTAGCATTTCAAGAAACTGGAAGTGCGGCCGATATATATTGGAAGTTACCCTATCAGCGCGTGCGCAATTTACACTACCAGCACTCTCCGGTAAGATCAAACAAAGCCACGCGCAGTTAGTTTTTCTCTTTCTTTTGCTCTTGATTTGTGTTTTCTCTCTTATTTTGTCTTTGCTTGTACTTGTTTTTTTTATTTTGCACCATGTGAAACTCAAAGAAAAAACATCTTAAATGTAAGTGAATTTGCAAACTGTTGAGTTGTTTTTATTTTCCGCGCGCAGGGTGACGCAAGTAACCCACCAAAAAGCAAGCATCTTCATAATAGAGCAGTAAAATGGGCTATTTGCCATCGTTGTCATTTTGATAATCTTATAAATCGACTTGTCCCAACACGTAGGTGACAGTCAGCACGTATGCATAGATAGCTCTTGTAGTCATTTTAATGTACACCACAGCAAAGTTCCCTTTCAATCTGAGCAACGTGTCGTCTGTGCACCTACACCCGATTAACTTCGTTCCAGTTTTCTTGTTCATTTTTGCACTTCCTCAGCCATCGAAGGTACGATAGTTTTTATCTTAAAGTTCCGATATCGTATACCCTATAATAATTGCCATCTGAAGTTTATTTTATGTCTTGTCGAAGAAATTTGAACAGTAGACCGAAATTGGGGGAGGGGCGCACGATTGAGGAAGTTATTGTTTAGTAGAGCTTCTACTATGATAACAAATTGTTCTTAATTCCTCCACAGCA